TTAGATACCTGATGTTTGGGGATGGTGAGAGCTTTTTAAAATTTTAATATTATTAATTTCTATCGGTTTGAATTTGGCATATACTTTGCTTATTTTATACTCTTGAAAAAGATGAGGAAATTCTCAATTACAAACCCTGAAAATTGATCTGAAAACAAAAAGAGGTCATCGTATTAATTCAGCAGCAGATAATTGCAATGTTGATGTTTCCTAATGACTTTTTGACTGGTTGGGATGTAATGCTGATGTATATGTTTGTCTTCCCAGCTCTCTAATCAATAATTTTCTACATTTTCTCCCTAGTATCATCAGTTAAATGTGCTGAATTATTTTCAAACTCCAGTAACCACTGCTGTATATATGGGAAAGAGTTGATTCTTCTTGCAGTTTTCATTAGAGTAGGATGGAAGAAAAGTGTTTAATGTTTTATTCATAAGACATTAAACAATATTGCACTAATGTTGCTGTCTTTCATTTTACCTGTTACCAGGTTTAGACTGAGGCGGAGCTGGGAAATTGCTGGATGCCCTTCAGGACTCCAGTCTGGGGCGATRGCACGAGGTTTTGGAAGACCTTCTGGATGACATGGAAGTAACAGGTCTGCACGCTCATGACGTGTGCCTGCCAGTGGTGATTAAAGTTCCCGTTTCTCCAGTGGAGAACGGCATGATGTTCCCTGCTGCTGTCCTTGTGCAGCTATTGGAACAGCAGCTTCAGTGGGACACCAAAAGGACGGCAGTGGCTTTTCTAAAACACACAGAATTCTCTGTGGTTTCGAGGGCTTTCTCAGAGTTTTCTGCAAAGGCCTCTCAAGTTTGCAACCTGATTCTTTCTCTCATTAATAGAGGGATTTTTATGGGAGCAAAATACCAAAATCCAGGAAAAGCTCAAGGTGCAGAGAAAGGTTTATTAGTTCAGCACTAGGCTTTCTTATTTGGTATTGGGATGTGGCATAAACATTTTTCTTGCCCTTTTTATGTGATTCCTTTGTTATAAGGCAAAGGTACCAAAAACCTGCACTACATATCTCTTATATGCTCTAATTCTGAACAGGAAAAATATGCACAGAGCAGCYGTGTGGAAACACAAGGTCTCTGGACAGACGGCTTTTGCCACTGGCAGCATTTCCAAGGTTTACATGGATGATGGCAATTTAAAAACTCCTATACTTTTTTTTCTTTTTCTAGGAAAGGGAAGGAATTAAAAGTTCATTGTCAGTGGGAACGTTAGATGAGAGCTGTGAGATTAGGTTTGCTGCTTTTGCAGCTGTAACTCGTACAGAAAATAGGCTAGGCATTGTACTCACCAATCCCCAACCAGACTTCTATAAACCATTGGTATACACCACACAAATTTATTTTGAAAGCTGACAAGAAAGCACACCAAATTGTATCATACAGGGATGGAAGTTGCCTATATTTYTAAAGCAAATCCATAAAATGTCTCATACAGGAAGATGTTGCACCACATCTGTAGTTTACTTTCAAAATTATGTTTCTAAGCACCATTTTCCAATTTTCAAAATGACTGTCTAATGAACAGAGAACTTCTGTTCTTGATARTAAACACGTCTCATATTTTCTCCCCTTTGTTGGAAGTGAGGACTTGGAATACTTGTTCCACTTTAGTTATGCCACTGCTTGGGTACTGGGAGCACTGATTGCAGAATGCTGCAGGAGAAWAAAGCATTTGACCTTGCCTGTTCCTCTTCGTTCTCCATGAGTACGGAATGAATGGAGTATGGAAAGGACAATTCAGAGAACCAAGCAATATTTTTCACAGTATCCTGAAGAATAGTTCAGGCCTTAGGATCTCTGTTAACCATGCTATATATATATATTTTTTTTCAACTTAATCATCTCTTCAGTCACTGGGGCATAAAATAGGCTGTCATTACTGGCTACCATTTTTGCTTCAAGGCAAATTGCTTCYGTGTTTTACAGCAACTTGTTTCTGTGCTCTCAAGACCTACATTGCAATTTGGGGCAAGGCGACTTTGCTGTAGCTCTTGCCTTTGGTATAGTGAAAATGATTTTAATCTTTAAAGATAACCAGTGTATGCAATGGCTGACTTTTTATTAGCTCTATTTGAACTACCTCTATTGCAGGTAATTCTAGTGCCTGTGGACAAGAAAATTACCACTAAAATGAAGGGTATTTTTCATGCAATGACATTTTGTTATGAGTTAGTTTTCCACCTGCTCTACAGCATGAGTTTGAAAGGACTCGTRTTTTGCTATTTGAGTGGCTTTGTTTTGAACCTAAATGGGTTGATAGTTTAGAACAGGCTTGTGTATTTGAGTTGCTGGCCYGGTCAGCTAAAGAAAATGTGATTCTTTTTCATGTGCTAGTGGTTAAACTGGTTGGCCTTGCAGTTTTACAACCTGTGAAGACGACTCATTGAGGAATTAGAGAACTACAAGATTAATCCCTGCAATTTTCAAAGTGCAGATGCTGGTGTCCTATTATATTCCGAATAGAGCCTGGTGGACAGAGCACTATTTTAGAAAAYGGAAGATGTTTTTTGGACGTCTTCRTGCTCAAAAGGGATTTCCATACTGGTCTCCCATATGCTATAGGAGAGCTTTCACTTGCTTTCTCTACTAAATATGACTCACGGTAATTTAAAAGGAAGATGTCCTGCTCTGTGCAGGACATCTTACAAGTATGCACTTACAAGTTCCAGCCCTTAGGAGGATGCTTTAGCCTCTGTTTTCTGCATGGGTGAAAGCTAGTTCAGGAATATACATAAACTCTTCAGAGGTAATAGACTTGTGGAGTTCCTAACCTAAAGCTGTTCTTCTGGAGTTTGTAAGTGTGTACTTAGGAAATCCCTGGCGGCCTGATACCTTAATATACAATGCTTAAGTGAAAGAGGAGTAGCTGAGCTTAAAAAAAGGAAAAAAGACAAATGGTATTTCTTTATGTCCTTCTAACCTCTTGGCATCCTCACTTTAAATAAATTTTGAGCTTTTTATTTTTTTWAAATCAAAAAATAAAGCAAACAATTTCAACTACAATTAACCAAATGTAATCAGCTGTAACAATCTAAAATAAACCTTTTGACTGTAGCCTGTCCATGCCCTTTTAATTATGCAGACAAATCATCTCTTATGTGTCTTCATGCTAAGCTGTGCTTTAAATTTTTTTTTTATGAAAACCAGATGCTGAGAATCACAAAACTGCACAGCTTAAAACTGAACATAATTTTCACAGAATGCGACCATACTCATAAGTTGATTTAATTTTAAAAACTGATTGGGGAAGAAATTTAAATATTAACATCAAAAGACTAGAATAAATCTTGTATCTGTTTAGTTCATGTGATCTGCTTGTTTTTCTTCTGCAGAAGTTAACACAACTGACATGCTAAAAAGTAAATGATCAACATGTGCATGACTTCATTTTTATGGGAATTACTATTCTTGTACTATTCTTTCATTTTTAAAACATACAAGTTTCTAGTCTGAAACAGGTGTAGCTCAAAGGACAGCTTACTCAAGCTGTTTTTTAAACTGACTTCAAAACAGAGTCTTGCATGGGAAAGGCAAAGAGAGAAAACCAATATCTTCAAGGACCAAGCCATACTAGGTGATAAGCAGTGTATTATTCATAAATATATATATACATAAATATTCATAAATCCATTATCCACTCATAAATATATACAACAGAAAAATGAATTTAAAAAGAAAAAAGAAGAATGTGGGAAAATTTTGACCCTGGACATCAGTGTCTGTGTTGCAATTTTCAAAAATACCTTAGTGCAGGAGAGGACTTCCAAGAGTTCTGCAATGCTTCGTGTCCCATCCATAAAGACTAGTTTTGTCACCTTAGGAATCACCTAAGCTGAAATGCATTAGCGAAAATGCATTAGTATCAAGGACTCTTATGACTGCACCTGTCTTGAGCCAAGATTTGTGTAAATATGTCCTTAAAAATGCAGATAAGCTTAGGGGCACTTTCATAAAGCAACTGTCTTGTCTTACCTGCTGGGAACATGTCTGTGATGGGTCGCTTCCRTGGTATTTCTCACAACGTGTTAAAAATAAACTAGACACACTGGACACAAGATTGTATGTGTTGAAAAGACAGTGTGTGTTGTATGGGCGGTGTCACAGCATTTTTTTTTCTCTCAGATACATTTGTAAAGGTTTTTTAAATGACCATGGACAACATTTTAAAATCTAGGAAATTTATTGTGTATCTTATGCTGAGTCATTAAGATGCTTGTAGATATAATGTTGAGAATGAACGAACTTTATTGCAATAATGATATTTTAATATTACAGCAATAATATTATATACAGTTTTTAAAATACAAGTATTAAAGCATGTAGAAAATGGCTAATAGTAGCAGGTAAATCGAATTGCTTAAAGAATTGAAGCAATAATTGAAAGCTCGTCCTGCATCAAGAGACAAGGAACAAGAGGACAGTAAGCAGCCGAGGAGGAGAATATTTGTACCTGTTGCTAATTTAAAAAAGCAAAGTGGAGAAGAAATTAGCACTCCAAACATGGTGCAATGCCACAAGTGAAACTTAAGTATTTGCAAATTGTTTTTGTAGCAACATTCAGAGGTAGGTGCAACAGTTGTTTGCTGGCCTTGTCCTCAATCCTGCTAGCCATGATCAGGCTGTAGAAGCAAGAAATAAATTTCAGGCCGAGGATGAGCTTAACCTGCAGAGGAKGAGCTTAGATCTTTCTCTCTTCCCTCGGATACAGAAATACACGGAAGCCGGGGGGATGATCTCCCCAAAGCTGCTTGATAAATTATGGCAGCCAGCAGAGTCAGTTAATCAATAACCACACGGAATGACCTTTTTGTCYGGGTGTGTGTTCCAACACTTGTCCGAAGTACCCCTGTGCTTCCCCAACATGGAGCCCAGAGAGCTCCAGGGGTGTCCATGGGCACGTGGGAGGGACCAGGCGGCAGCAGTTAAACGGCCGCCGCGGCGGTTGGGCCTCGCACCGCAGGGGCAGGAGCGCGGGCTGCAGCCATGGCGACGTGGAGCCGGGGGCCGCACGGCCATGGCTGCCCCGCCGYGCAGGAGGCCCAGACGCGGCTGCGCTCGGCCGTGGCGCATGAGCGGGCGGCGCGATGGCCGCAGGTGCCGCCGGGGCCTCGCCTCCGCCCCGAGAGGGGCCTCTCTGAATTTCAGTGTCACAGGAAATTTCAATAATACGTGCATATATATTTATATGTATATTATATACGTTGTATTTGTGTTCTGCTTCCAGGCCGTCGAGGATTACAGAGCACTCCTGAGGCTCCTGAAGGAAGCGTTTCCCCACAGCACGGAGCCGACGGCTGCCTATTCACAACTGGTAACCTTAAGGCGGTTACAGGGGTGATAAACAGGCCGGAGCCTCTCGCTTCTGCTGGCGTGTAGTTGCCTGAAGACTCCTGTCCCTGCCATATAAAACTGGGATTTAAAAAACTTTTGTTATGTTATTGTAACTTTTGTTATTCAGACTATGAGAATCTACCATCCCCTTTTAAACTGCATGCCCCAAAGCGTGACGTATGTAAGACCCTTAGTGTGCAAGACGAGTAACTGCTGCAACTACAAGATGCCACCAAAGGAGGGAGAGAGGGACAGAGAAGACCATGTGCGCAGTACCCTGTATTGGAGRCCATACAGAAAAAAAAGAAATTCTTGTAAATTTGCCATCAGGGAAAATTCCTTCGCCCATCCATTTGCCCRTGCCATGGAATTACCATGCATGTTTGACCCGTGCTGCGCTGTGGAGCTGCAAGGGGGTTCGGGAGGGCAAGAGGTGCGAGTGGAGGGAGCCAAGCGACTGCACGTCCGCGCGGCGACAAGCGGGTGCTGTTCAGTGAAGCTGGGCCTCGGGCACTGCAGTGTGTCCCAGCATTGGTCTGAATGGGMTGGCACACCTGTGTGCCCAGGAAAATGCTTATGAGAAGTCTCGCTGTTAATTTAAATAGCACAGAGACTGATTTCCATGTTAGGTTTCCCTTGACGCCTTCACCTTTGTTATTCCTTCTGGCTTTTAAGAGGGGCTAAATTCTGTTCACGTTAAAATCAATAGCCGAGCTCCAGCTCCTGGTCTGCTGGCTTGTGAGGAATTCAGCTTTATTATTTTTAATATTATTGTGAGATTAAAATGGAACAGTTAGACTTGTTGCCTCTAGACTTGTTCCCACCAACACATTTTGCAGTTGCTGCAGTATCTGTGCTTGTAAGTTTTTTGGCTGCAGGACAAAATCTCCAGGTAACCTCTCCTGCAGTGTTATCTGGATTTTCCAGATTTCCTAGTTTCAGAGTAGCTGCTTAAAAGAAATAATTTGAGCTGGGCAGCCTGATGTTTTCTGATCAAATAATATATGTATATATGTATGTGTTTATATATATAATATAATTTTTTTTTGTTAGTGACATTTCTGATCAACTATACTCCTACTTAATTCCAAGATACCAAAATTTCACCATGCTGAACCCTCTGTGAAATCTCCATTTAGTTAATCAGCTCAGTTTGCTGCTTATGGGTGATATTAYGTTGGTATTCAAAATACTGACCTTTTTAAACAGGCCTGGAATTATTAAATTTATATTGCTTAGTTCTGTGGCAAGTTTGCAGCCTTTAACATTTGTCACATTTCTGAAACTCTCTTTTCTGGGTTATTAAGRAACACTGTAGACACTGTAACATCAAATAATAATATATAAAGCTCCCTTAAGCTGTGAGCTTTACTGTTTAAGTTAACTGCTGAAGGGTTAGATCATCATCTAATATAAAGTGATATGTTTTCATTTAATTCTGCAGAGCCAACTGCTTTATAGAAGCTAAAAATCTGTCCTGAAATAGAGAAGTATCTTAGGGAATGCACTTGAAGCAGACAGCTGCTTAGAATAATGACTGTATGGGAGAGGTAGTAGTTTTCATTTGGGTGAAGGGAGTGTATGCAAGACTAAAATTGCAAAAATAAATTTGTGATTCTGGTCATATGTTTCAGCTATTCGAAACTTACTATCATTTAGCTGTAGCCTTGCAAAAACTGCATCGCCATAAAGAGGCTGTGGATGAACTCACTAAAGCAGTAGAAGTTTCATCGATCCCTAAGGTAAATCTGCAGAGGAATTTATGATATGTATGTTGCATAATAGCTTACTTTTTTGTCAGGGGAAGAATATCATAGGTTTAGAGAGCAGCTAGGCTTACAGTCAGGCAGMAGATCAAAATAGTATGTTTTAATATACATTCTCCAGTTTCAGTCTCACAGTTTTTTATTGCAGTAAATTTATCCTAAAATGATTGACAGCTGTGTCTTAGAGTTATAACTTGGAATTATGACTACTGTACTGCAAAATGAGATCATCGAATATAATAAACAATACTACATTTAGAGGCTCCGTTCAGACTGAACTACAAATAATCCATCTTCTGAATATATTAGGTTATCTTGTGCTTGCACATTGCATTAAGCATATTAAAAATTGACTTGTGAGATGTTTAGAATAAAAGGAGATATTTTATTAGGTAATGGAAGGAAAAACTTGAAATCCCCATTTTTCTACTCACATTACCCTTTTCATTAGATTTTATCTTTAATGATCAGTGTTTCTGAAATTATGGGTTGCTTCTTGATCCCAGCATATATTTGGAATCTTTTGATTTAAAATTTCTACTGATGAAATCATATCTACCATTAATATCATGTTGAACTTGCAAGAGTTTGAAAACACTTAAAAACTACTCTGCGTTTACAGCTTTTGAGATCCTCAACACTTTCTAGAATTACTTTTAATGAAAATAACAATTTTCTAATTTTTGTAATTGAACTCTGTTAATGTATACATAATAATACACATATGGAAGTGAGTGTCGACTTATATTTTCATTTCCAGAATTTATCTGTGATTCGTTTGTACTTGTTTATTAAACAAACACACTCACAATGGTAGGCTTGCATTGGCTTTGCGGCTCTTATTCAATCTTATTAACTTCTTTTTTCATTTTTTCCCTCCAAGGGAGTAAATTGATTTATATGAGGATGCTGTTAATGCTATAACTCCCTGTCTAGCCCCTTGGGTTCTAATGTTTTTTAAACACAGTACAATTATGGGAAACATTATACTGGAATGACAGCATAAATCATCCCCATAGGAGTCTGAGCAGTCTAGGGAGTAATCTTACAGAGCCCTGCTGAGGTAAATAAGAACAGTAATTTGAAATAAATAAAAGACCAATGGTGCTAATGTGAGTGTCTCAAGAACGTCGTTATATTTGTAATGACAATGTTTGTTTGGTGTAACGATACCCGATGCAGTATAATGCCGCTGTTTAAATCATAACTTTGTAGTCCATGATCCTGTCTCTTTTTCCTCAGAGAGTGTGTCAAGTTGGCTGTGTTTCCACATCTATCCTCCAAACACCAGCGCTTTGTCGAAGAGCCTACGCRCATGTCAAATGTGGTAAGAGTCTCTGAAACCCTGGTCAAATGTAGTAAATGACAACTGTAATTCCAGGTACTGAGGTATGCTGTGGGGATTATTTTATTCCACATTTCTTGCTTCGTAGCCTAGTCAAGGCGTTAGAAACATTAGGGAAATTAGGTAATAAAAAATGCTTTCGCTTGSTGTTCATCCACTGAAAGCAGTGTTGTTGTTTACATGCAACAGGGGTCACTTGTATCGCTGCACACTCCAGGCACAGTGGGAATTTGACAATTAAGCAGTCTAGCAGTTGGCTTCCTGCCTCCTACTGCTATTGATACCCCAGATTATTGTTCTTCTGTTGAACTGGAGGGGAATTAACATATCAATTCAAGATACAAAATAAAACAGTTACTCTGAAAAGGATCTGCTCTAGGTATTTTTGCCAGTCTTCATGCTTTTAACCTGAACAAATGTATAAAATAGAAAAATACTTCAAAATATGATTTTTTTGGGTAGAAAATGTGTCTCTCCAGAATACATTAAACAAGACAATATCATACATTTAAAAGCATAATAAAATTGAAAAGTAATTTAATAAAATACATCTTTAAATGAGAAACTGATTGTCCGTGAGATTTCTTTTGAGGACACTGGGGAACATGCTCACAAAGCAACTTTGTGCAGTTCAAAGCATGCTGTGCTTGTGCAAAAAATGCAAAAAATATTAATTGCATAATTGTAAACAATATTTTACAGCAAATTTTAAAATATGATCATATTATTTCTTAATGATTTCTGACCCTATTTTAAACAAGATTTGAGCTTGCCCAATCTGTAGCACAGATTTATGTGTTGCTAGTATACACTAAATTTCAGCAATACGAGTGCTATCAATAAGAGGTCTAAAAGTTTGTGTATGGCAGAAAAGTATTTCTGGCCTCAGGAGCTCCAGTGTGACTTGAGTAAATAAGCTGGCATGTGTTTCTTTTAACTAAGACATAGCTTTTGCTTAATTATGCTTCTTTTTAAAAAAGTGATAGAACAGTAAGTAATTTATACAAAAAGCTTGTTGAACAAACCTCTTTATCTGCTGTGATTTAAAATGTTAATAATAGATTTTATAATGGAATTAAGGAAATAAATCTAGTCTCCTGAAAAGACACACAATCTCTCTATTCTAATCCTCCACTGTAGATAACTTCTTSTGTAACTACATGTGAATATAGTAGTGTTTCTGTGGAAATCGTGGCTGACAGTTGTAACTAGTTTGCATGAAACTTTTTGTTTGTCATTCATAAACACAATCATTGCAATATCAAAAATCGTGACAAGTGGCAAAACTTTTTCTCCAAATTCTGCTTCAGATTTTCACAGAATCATTATGATTGGAAAAGACCTTCTAGATCATTGAGTCCAACTGTCAACCCATCATTACCACATCTGCCAAACCGTGTGCCTAAGCACCTCATCTACAAGGTTCTTGACCGAGTTCTGCTCCTCATGCTGAATACATGAGTAGGATAAATGCAATRTATTTTTCAAGTGTTGAAGTAAAGACTGTTTCCTTCAGGATACAGTCCTTCAGGATACAGACAGTGGTATAGATTTTGTTTGGATGCTTCTGATGTTTTGATGTTTTCAGCCCTCTTTAATGGGCTGGAGCAAGCTCAAGAGGCCAAACCAAGCTCTGATGGATTTTAAAATCTCAACTGCAAATACTTGGGAAGGTGGGAGTTCATGCAAGGGGTAGTCATTTCTTCTTGTGCTGTCAGTATTCAACAGTACAACTATCAAAACAAAAGTAGTATTTTTAATCACAGCTAAGCTRGTTAAGCATGTTCACCATCTGGATCCAAATATGAATTTGCAGGGTTATTTAGATGTCATGAGYAAGTAAAGTGCTTTGTGTCATCCACAAAGCCTTTTCTCCTAAAGCGGAGAATGATGGACTAGGCAGTAGTCCTGTATTTGTGTTTCCTGCAAGTGTTACTCCATCTCAGAAAAAGCAGCATGTAACTTTTTAATGAAATTATACAAATTATATTATATTTCTTCTCTTTCAGATATTTCTTTAATACTGTTTCATAATCTCATATGTATGTTACAACTGTACTTTTTATATATGGTTATATGTATTTCCATACCATTTATAGATTGGATTTTATACCATTATTTATTTTTATATATAATATATAAACATATATATAGAATAATACATATAATATATAATAAAATAATATATATAATATAATATATATTMTATAATGTATATATATTATATACTATGTATTATGTATTATGTATTATATGTTATATATGTATTTCATTATTTCATTATATATATATTTCATTATATATATATAAATGAAATACATATGTATTATATATATTTTATATATTATAAAATATATATATTTATTTCCATACCATTYATAGGTAGATTTTATTTATTTGCTTATTTTTTCATGATTTTATGCTTTCTGAAGATACATAGCATGTCTTTCTGATTCCACTTTGAATTAAATGATGTAACCCTATAAAACTGTCTTTTTATGAAATGTATTTTTAAAATCAATAATGATGCCTCTGTAGAACTACAATGATGTTATTTATTGTTCTTTTTTTTTTTTTTTTTTGTCTCTCTAAGTCACTGCAAGTCACTTAGAGGGGATGCAGTGGGGTGAAGGAAGTGCTCATCTTTTCAGAGAGGTGTCAGTATTTGGCCAGGTGGTCAGGGACAAGCAGACATTGGTACAAATGCTCCCCTACAACACCAGCTGTCTTCCTTGCTACTGAATGGAAACTCAGGGTCATAAATTCTGTGCCAAGCTCTCCATTAAGTTGTTTTGTGACCTTGAAGCTGTTGCTTCATTTTTCTGCATCTCTTGCTTTCCTCCTGGCTGTCTGTTTTGTCTTTTGAAACTGTATTTTTTAGTGACAGGAACAGTCTGTATTTCTATTGTGTGCTCTCTCCATGTTTCTGATGCAGTAGAGCAAGACATTTATTGATACCTTTCATTGAGTCATATTGGTGGCTAATGCAGCTCATTCAAAAAGGGCAAGATAGAATTCTGACTCAAACGCACTTGATCTTTTACTTCTGGATTTTACTTTGAAATGAGGAAAAAAAAACCAGCCCAACTATTTGCTGCAAATGTGTGTAGTGTCATCCTGCTGGAATCACAGTGTGCCTGGGAGCTGGGCATCCTCTGTACTAGTACMTGCAAATTCTGCTCCGTGCTCTCCTGCTACTTTGCCGCTGTGGCCACGCTCCCACGAGTACCGTGGAAGGCAGTGTGACCAATACCTGTCACCTGTGGTGACTTGTTCTCCTTCCAAAGAGTCTCTGTAGCTTAGTTCTGAAAAGAAAAGAGGCAGTTTCACCAGGATCTGTTAGTCCCAGTCTAGGAGTTTGGTGCTGGTGGCCAATTTCAGCCGAACATAAAAACAGAGGAGTCCAAAGATACTAGATTCACACAGATGTCATGAAAACAAGAGGTAGATTTAGGCTATCTGAAAGGAAAAGGCAGCAACATAAGCACAACCTCTGTTAGCCATTAAAGAATTTGTATGATAGAAAGATATGAGTAACCCAACTTCAAAAGAAGTTGTACTCAGAGCTGTGCAATGTGAAATCTGCCTTTAATCCAAAGCTTTGTTTGTTTCTGTGTGGATTTTCTGTGGTCTAACAAGGCACAAGGTACAGCTGCAGCRTTTCTTCATGTTTGTATGAGAACTGAAGATCAGAAAGGGATGTGTTACTATGGATTGACAAATTGCCACTTAAAAGAAGCCCTCGCAGCTGGTCACTAGTCATGATTACTCCATTCCATTCACAGAATAATATGACTTCATGTTGATGAACATTTTATTCATGAGGGAGATTCTCCAGGAGGGCACACGTTGCCAGTTACTGCAGCTCAACTGATGGGCACTAAATTGTTGGGCTCTGTCAACTTAATCAGTTTTGTCTTCGTCCATATTCTTAATACTATGGATCAGAGCATTCCATGTCTTATTTGCTTGGATGGAAAAAGCAGAAAGGGATGTTCCAGAACGTTGTGTTTGCAAGCAGCCCCTCAGACGTTTCCCTGCTTCTCTTCAGGTGGTTGCTGCTGACAAGTGGTTAAAAGAAAATGCTATTCAAAATCCTTTTTGCAATTGCAACTGATCTCTGCCTAAGCCAGTGTTAGAAGTGGAGCTGTGCAGTGTTCCCTGAGTTACATGTGCTGATTTACTCCAAGACACAGAACTCACAGAAACTCCTGCTGTTGTAGCATACTGCTGCCAATACTTAGGGTTTTTCCTGATGTTTTTAAATTGCTGGGCACAGACCCTGTAACTTCTAAGCCTTGTGAGTGGTGGACCACTGTTCCTAAAGGTTCTTGCAGCCTGGAGGAGACCCGTATTCTAACTATTACTGCCTGTCTAGACAGGTCASTAGTACTGCCTTGTGCCAGAACACAGCGTCTCTGAATGTTCTCTGAAACAGTGAGAAGAATATAAGAAGGTAGATGTGTTTGAGGTTGGGTTTTGTTAAATATTATGCTACACCGTGTAAAAATTCAGCTTACTCAGTCAAGCAGAAGTGCTTAGGTTGGGTAGATGCAAGATACAAAAGTAACAGCAAACACTGTAGCCACTGAGTAGCTGTTTTCAGTGCTTCTTCCCCCATATTGGGTCGTCTTTTCTGCAGCAGTATTGTGGACTTGGAAACCTGTTTGTCATGCCAGGCTCTGTTCCTTTTCTTTCTGTCTTTTATAACTTCTTCTTTTCAGACTACTTTTTTGTTTGTCTGTTTGTATTTTTTTTTTTTTTTTTTTTTTTTGATCAGAAGTAACTTATTGAGCATTGAATCTAAGAATTCAGAGGATGTTGGACAAGAGACTTGCACTTACTGAGCCAGAAGTGTGCACTTATGCACTTGGAGTGGCCTCACAAGGGCACCCTGTGAAGCTGCTGCTTCAGTTTACTGCTGATTGTGCAGTTACATAAGAAATACCAACATTTTTGAAAATGGACATTTATAGCTGTGCTCRCTATAATTTTAAAAAAATGTATAATAAAATCTTTCTCTTCATAAACCTCTTACACTTACATATTTTGATTTGTACTTTTAGGCCATAATCCTTTCTCAGAAGGTGTCTTGTATAGTCACATGGAGCTTCTAACAGTTTTAGAAGTCTTTGCTTTTAACTCCTCAAGAATGTTCTTGATTTTGTTGCTTACAATTGGAAGGGCCAATATTCAATTCAGAACGCACCAAGAAACAAACTTCATTCAATACTAAGAAAAAGCTCACTTATCAAAGCGCCAATAAAAGCCTAAGACTTCAGACAAAACCACTTTCCACAATTTATTTGGGGTTTAATTACTGAAAGGTTACATTTTTTTTTTTCATAAAACTGAATCTAGAATAACCTTCCCTAGTCTCACAGTCTGGGACTGCAGGGCCAGCATGACAGTTCTGTAGTATTACACTACAAGTGTGGCAAAAATATCCCATCCTTCCATTTGGATACTTAACAAGGCAGAAGGTTGAGGAAGAAAGTCCTCGGGAAGACTAATTGTCTTACATAACTCCTCAGCAAACACACCCCTCCATTTGAAGARATAACCTTAGTTGACCCCAGTCAACTCAGCTAAGGTTTTAGAAGAGGAATTCCAGGTAATAGTAGCAAGATGTTGCTAAAAATGTCAGTATTGCATACTCAAACTGTGTGTGTTAAATGTTTTGATTTCACCATTAAATGCATGTGATCATCAGAAAAATGTCTAAACTTTTATTTGTTGTTTTCTCTCTTTTGTGGTAATAGAAAATTGGAAAAAAGCAATAGATGATGCTAATAAGGTTGTCCAGTTGGACCCTGCAAACCCTGTAAGTAATAATAGTATGAGTTTTATATTCTAGCATTTAATTTATATTAGTGCTTTATTTTATTCCTTTAGCTATTACTGACTTCCTAGAAATCATTTACCTACYCTGTTGTGTTTGTTATCTGAAAACACTACATTGCTTTTAAATAGCAATACTATAATCAAAATAAGCCTAGATGTATTTGTTTAAAATAGTTGATCTTGTAAAAAGTTTTGATGTGAGGGTAAATTATATTGTGATAAGGAATATTTGCAGGTTTGAATTTTAAAATCAAGGTGGAACAGGGTCATATTTATTTAAAACAACAATAGATCCAGTTATGCAGGTCCCATGAAATACAATTTGCATGTCAAAAGGCTGTTATTATGCAGCATTGACATTGTGGAAATACATATAGGCTGTACCCAGCTCATGCCCTCCTTGTGCCAGACTGTGGCCAGTCTGCACAGGATGTGTGTAYGAGGACCCAAGACCCAAGACTTGACCTAAGTCCTAAGAACTCARTGAAACAGGTTTGCAAAAAATATAGGGAGAGATCTGGTAACCCAAAGAGTGGGATATTTTGGTTAACTCAGAATTTAAGTATGTGGTTCTTAATCAATCAGCAATAGTTAGCCTGCTCCTGTCACGTGAAGATGGTTTGTTTCTGTGCTAAAGTGCTTGAGAAAATCAGGAGAKTAGTGCTGTGAAAAATGTGCTGGTAAACATCCCATGTCTGCTCACAGCTTTTGTTACTTGCTATGCTGTTAATACTTTTGATGAATGCTGTTGAGAGGACTCTGGCTTACTGTAGCATTATTATTATTTTATTCCTTTCAGAGGGCTGTAATAAACAAAAMAAACAGAGCAAGTGTGTGTTTCAAGTACAAACAAATATGTTCATTTTCAAAAATATCCCATATTTTTACTAAAGCAATTTACAGCGTTTCAAATTTATGTAATTTTTTGCAAACAGCAAATAATAAGCTATTCATGTGGTTAATGTGAAAAAAAATCATACATTTCTGATGATTCTTAAAAGAACTCAGAGATCTATGTTTAATGCAGAATTATCAGGTTGGAGGTTAAATGGAAAATTTTCCGCTTATATATTTATATATAYATATATATATWTATATGCATAGTTATGTAGTGTAGATCTATGAAAGCCATCTTTAAACTACCGACTTTGAGTACTACTAAAATGTGAGCTTAACACGGGCTCCAAAACTTATCCAAGTTAATCAGTAAATTTTTGGATCACCAGCCTATTCTGAACTCTGAGTTCTGCTCCTAAACCTCTTCTAGTTCTTGGGATACGTGGATAGATAGGGTACAAAGTCACATAGGACATGATTTGAGGGGGACAGWGGTGTAAGGAGTCAGTATTGGTGTAGTGACACACACAGGAAACAGAATTGCCACTGAAAGAGTTGTGGCTGGAAACACATTGCACATGATTCCAAGCTCTTGGAAATGCTCTGGGTTATCCCAATTTAAGCAAAAAAGGTTCATGTCAGAAATGAGACGCTGTGCTTCTTGGAGCACGCTGGCCAGGTAACTGCTGTTATCTTAACCAAAGCTGGCCCTGCTCACACCTCCTCATCAAAAAAATGCCCTTTGAGACTCCTCTCTGTTTCAGAGTCATCTCATATCTTCAATTTACACAAAATAATCACTACCTTTTTACCACAAAATAATCACTACCTTCAGGATGAAGCAAACTGAACCTGCTGCTGTGCTTTCTGCTTTGCAGGACATATACTGCATCAGGGCACTTGTGTGGAGTAGTGTAGGACAGAAGAAGAGGGCAATGGTTGACTTAAACCACAGCCTCAAGCTGAATCCTTCTCATGTCTGTGCTCTAATCATAAGGGGTGCCATCATAAACAATCTCACTGCAAAAGGGATCCAGCAACCCTTAGAGAAAAATAAAGATCAYGAAAAGGTAGGGAAATTTTTGTTTTCTTTGATTTTTGTTTTTAAAAAAAGAGAAGATATGAGATCAAATTGGACTTTGGTTTAATCATTTGCAGATCTTTTCTAAGCCATCGCTTATGCTGAAGCTGAAATTGCCCTCAGTTGCTTTTGCTTCTTAAGTTTTGATGTGACCTAATCCTCCCCCTCTACCAATGGCTTTCTCATAGTGTTGAATATTTATGTGAAAAGTTTGTTTCTGGATCACTCTATGATTTCACATCCTTCCTGCAGTTGCTGCTAGTGTTTGGTTAAACAGAGAACAAAACCCTTAGGAAAGCAGGACACTCCTCAGGACATGCAGTTCTCCCTGAGGAGAAGCTGAGGGAGCAAACAACATGTGACAGATGTTAATCACATTGCCACGGGTACGACTGAAGGCGCTCAGTTACTGCTGAGATGAACGTGATATAAGCACTGACATACAGCAAAACAGCAATAAAAAGGTAATGCACCTGGTGCAAAGGTACAAAAAAGCACCTGGTGAAAAGCTGTACTGACTGTTGTTCTTCACTATCTGCTTTGCGAACTTTATTCTTAATGTTAAAATTAATAACATTAACAAATAGAAGGACTTTGGTTACTGAATGGTGTGCGTGCACATTTCTGCATCAATAACACAGCATCAGTGGAACAGCTCCAGGTCATGTTCCAGCTCTTAGAGTAAAACATTGATCAGTTTAAGTATCTAACCTGGGTTGGCTAAATCACCTTCTGAATCATCAGGGTAGCGATAAAGAAACTACCTTTTGAAATAACGAGGATCAATCTTTATTTACTTTTCCTCCTCCTTTTGTGCTTTGAGGAGGAACCATAGGTCTCTCTAACTCTGTATTAGAAGCAAATTACTTGGCATGAGGTAGTATTATAACAGCATAAAGATTTTTGCAGCTGCGAAATTCAAATTGCATCTGTATGAAACAAGCAAAGTGAAAAGTCTGAAAATCCCTCAGGCAGATTTTAGGTGACTTTACTGAAGGTTACTCTTTTACTACATGAATAATTGATTTTTGGAGTAGTTCTTATGAGCAAGCCTTGTGAAGGCAGATCATGGCATTCCAGCAGGAGGATAAATACTTGCCCTTAGATTTTTTTTTGATGAGAGTGTTAATATCTACACTGGGTAGATAAAACATCAGTTTCTATGTTACCAGTATAACTATTGATGACAATGTATGTATTGTAACTAATCACTCTTTAAAGCTAAAGGAATAATGTCATTTTGCTCTCTGGGAATTGCAGATGTAATTTCAAGGAATCTTGCTAAGCAAGCTGAATAATTCAAGGCAGAGCTGTGAATCTGCAATGCTGAAGAAGATGCTTAATTTTAAGGACAGAAGTATTTTGTGTTTTGTAAAAGAGTTTGGTGCGACTTAATGACATGCTCTCTGACACCAATATTTTAACCTTTAGCACATGCRTGTAGGGTATTTCATATTAATTTGCTAGACAGCTTGCAATTTTCATACACTTCTCTGCGCAGTTCAAATGTGTGTGGTAAGTACTGTAGCAGTAATTAATGTGCAATTAGTAAATAGACACTGTAATGGAAGGATCTGTTTAAGGAYTGAAACCTTGTAGAGCTTCCTTCGCTACTCCACAGAGCAGGGTATGTGTAGGGAGCAGCTGTACTGCCTCAGCAAAAGCACTTCTCAACTTGCTTTGTTCCTGGRCTGATGCAGGATATGGGTACCAGGGTCACTCAGGGCCCATTGGTAGGTATCCAGTGGGCCTGCTGGGAATCAAGCTGTCAGTTATCCTGGAAAGTTTTGCAATATGAAGATCCCTTGGTTGAAGCTATAAGCTTGGTTCCTTCCAGCAATTAGGAAGTCTTCACAGATAATACTTGATCACTTGACATGACTTGTATTAAAATAGGCCATAGGATCACCTGTTTCTTTTAAGGATCTTTCTAGTAGTCTGCTGTGATGTTTTTTGGAATATTGATATCTTTAGCTTTTCCAAGTGCTCAAACTTATCAAAATAATCCCTGCTGTGGCACTGAGCAYCTACACCCATAGTGTACATAATCTGTTTGTAATTTTTTTGTCAACAGGCCTTTCAACTCTCAAAGAAGAATGAGCAGTTTTTTGATGTGGAGGACTTCTGCAGTCTTAAAATGTCAGACTTCTATGATAAGTGAGTACTTGTGCACATTTGATTGCTATAGAGAGGAGTAACTTATCTGAGAAATGACTGAAATCAGAACAAGCTTTTATCTTTTATGTTTTTGCTCTTTGGCAATGACCTGGAMAGACTGGAGGMCTGGGCGGCGAGAAACCTCATGAGGTTCAACAGGGGCAAGTGCAGGGTCCTGCACTTGGGGAGGAATAACCCTGGACACCAGTACAGATTAGGAGTGGACCTGCTGGAGAGCAGTCCCGCAGAGAGGGACCTGGGCGTCGTGGTGGACGACAAGTTGACCATGAGGCAGCAGTGTGCCCTGGTGGCCAAGAAGGCCAACGGGATNTTTTTCCTTTTTCTTTTTTTTCTTTCTTTTCCCCAGTTGTGGAAGATATGGTCATTATGGTTTATCAATCTGTTTTGTCTATATTGCTCTGTACAGGTTCTGTATTTTCAAGGAGAAGAGCAGAATGAACTATATTTGCCAACATGTTAGTGTTCTTTTACCATAGTTTCCTGGTTTGGATTTTCTCTCCCTGTTTAGTCCTTCAGCCCTTATGTGTTTGCATCTTTGATCATTTCTAGGATAGATCTGAAGTATCTGGAGTTCAGATACAGTGTGTTTGAGACTAGCTTCTTCCAGACATGCTCTGTCTTTACAGAGAAGGAAAGGAAATCATGTTGGTCCTTCAACTTTTTAACACTAGGGGAAAAGCTAGAGGCTAATTTACAGTATCGTTTGTGTGAATTTTATCACTCTTGTGAATCTATATTGCACAGAGTGAAAATCAAAATCCATATTGTTCTCCTTTCTGTGCTTCAAATGATGTTTTTCAGCAGAGATAATGCAGAGTTCACAAGCTTCATGTGCAAATAGTGCCTGGATGTTACAATTCTTAACTTTACCAATTAAGAGCACAGGTGCCTAACACACAGCAGGGGACATAATGTGCCTTACAAGTGAGTTCTAAGAAGCCACAAAGATGAGTGGAGAAACATCATGGAGTTAAAAATGCAGAGATGAGAAATAAGGTCTGAATCTCATTCCTCAAAGGTGCTTGCCTCCAGTTGGGATTCTTAGATCTCAATGTTCTTTTCTTCCCATTGAAGCAGCTTCATTTTAGTTTAGCTTAAAAAAAAAGAACACTTAGCTAGTGTAAAGATTGCATTGGCTTAAACTGAATTGCTGCTGTGTAGTACAAACTGAAGACATTTTCTTCAGAAACAGAAATAACACTTGTGATTTCTCCAGGGATAAACATGTTTAAGAATATGAGCTGGTTTTCAGTTCTTCACACAGAATCATGGAAATACTGGTTTGAAGGCCATCAAGTCCAGCCTCCCACTCATAGCAAGACAGTTGCCAAAAGTGGCTGCTGGGGCTTAGTCTGGCTGAGTCTTTAGTGGTTCCAGGGATGGAGGTTCCAAGCCCAGTGTAAATCTGGGTGACCTTTGCCAGGGCTCAGTACCCTCCTGCTGAAGCTGTTTTCCCTAGTGTCCAGTCTGAACCTCATAACCTACAACTTGAGGCCACTGTCTCATGTTTTATCATCTGCCACCATCAAGAGAAGATCAACGCCATCATCTTAGTAATTCCCTTTCCATCAGTCCTTATAGGCTACAGTTAGCTCCTCCCAACCTTAGCCTTTTCGGCAAACTAAGCAAGCTTGCTTCCTTCCATTCTCCTTGCAGGATGTATGCCCTCGGCCTCCGATAGCCCTTCCCTCTTCTTTCTGTAGTTTCTTAATTTCCTCCTTGGACTAGGTGACACAAACCTGGAGACACTTTTTCAGGAGGGCCTCACACAGACCAAGTCGAAGGGAGTACAGTAACCTCCCAGGTTTACTGGCCATACTCTTTCCGGTGTGCGTGTAGGTGGCATTGTGTGAGGGCACAATTTTTGGCTTATGTGATTTGACAGCCATGCTGACCATGCTGTTCTTCAGCCAGTAGGTTCACAGACCATTCCAGGACACTGGAGTATTCTCCCCTAGATGCTGAACTTCTCCATGTTGAACTTCATGAGGTTTCTGTTGTCCTGATGTTGTCCTTGAGGAAATGGCTTCAAACTGAAGCATCGGAAGTTCCACAGGAACTTAAGGAAGCATTTCTTCACTGTGAGGGTGACAAAGCACTGGAACAGGCTGCCCAGAGAGGTTGTGGAGTCTCCTTCTTTGGAGATCTTTAAAACCCGCTTGGATGCAGCCCTGTGCCMCGTGCTCTAGGTGACCCTGCGTGAGCAGGGGGGTTGGACTCGATGACCTCTGAGGTCCCTTCCAACCTTCGGCATTCTATGATTCTCTATGATTCTATGAGAGACCCAGCCATTCCCAGTGGTCATATCAGAAGGTACAGCCAAACCATGGTTATAGTAGAATTACAGGGTGTTTTTTATAGKATCTGTATATAGATAACTCCTTTATATACAAAATTTTACAACATGACCTTCCTGTAGTGCAGATCTTGCGGTGGATAATGAAGGAATAAGAATATGCTGGARRTGACTCAGAAATGAGTTTTAGGTATAACACTCTTTTCAGATGATTTTGAGAAAGTTAATTCACTCTCTTTTATGTAGGGCTTCCTTTATGCCAGTAATGTCCCCTGTATAAGGTGCAGAGATGCAGATGAGGCTGGTGTCTTTCTGGTTGTAGGAGAATAGTTGGTGCTAATTGAACAGATCTCTAACAAAACCCAAAGAATGTGCAGACTGTTGTGCCAGATACATTTCTGGATAAATCTTCCCTCTCAAAAATAATGATCTCTTCTTTTTTTTTCACCTGTACACCAGCTTCTTCATGGCAGTGTCTAATGAATAAGATGAGGTGAATAGGCCTCAATCTGTGTGGGTACAGCAAAGACACTAGCAAAGGTCATACAAAAGAAGACTAAGCTGCTGAAAATTTTGTAAAACTGACTAGGTGAAATTTCTCACACTGGCTAAGTGAAATTTCTTCTAAGATGTCAGCTCCGAAATGAGTCATCTCTTCACTAATTTCAGCTTTATGCCRATTTCAAAGCTTTTTGAAAAGGATTGTTCTCCTATAACTCTTTGAGACAAGTGAAAATGTGAAAATATGAAAATAAATGCTATGTGATGTTATAATAAAAACTATTATTTTTTTTTTTTGGTTAGAAGAGCGTTGATTTTAAYTTCTAAGATATCACCTATTGTGATAAACTTTTTAAAAATTGGTATGGTTAGATTGAGATGTGCATTGGTTTGCTCTAATCTACTTTTTAAGGAACGTGTCCCATCACATATGTGTGGTGTGATTAGAAATGTGCACAGGAAAAAAAGGATCAGAGCAACGAAGCTGTTCCGTTAGTTGTCTGCTGTGTTTTCAGTGTCACGGCACTCTCTGTTTCAGCAACTCCAGTTAGACCATCGCCGAGTGACAACAAATGCAGTGAGAGCTGGAAGAGGGCTGTCAGCCTCCTCCGTTCTCTGCTCCTAAAAGATCAGATCTGTGTTTTCAGTCGTTGAGACGCCAAGTCTTGTTTCAGAGAAGGTTTTTGTACAGGTGGTCAACTGGATAAAAATGCTTTGCGAGAGGGCTTCTTTCAATTGAGCACAAGCACACTTTTCAACTGAAAAACTGCTTAATTGCTTGCCTAAAAGCAARTCTTTTAAAATGAAAGGTCAGCAATGGCATAACTGTTAATGTGTCTGGTAGTTCTCTGGCTATGGCTTTTAGCTAGTGCTAAAAGGCCATAACCAAGGTTGAGCAGTGAAATATTGGGCAGTTGGGATCTCTCATCGGAAGAGAGTATTACTAGAAAAGCAGAGCCCGCCTGTTACACAACCAAGGATTTAAGAAAATCCGTTTTTTTGCTCATGCTAGGACATGATAACAAGTCATTTTATAAAATTAGGTAAAGACAATGTYCTTTTGTGACTTGGGAACAGCACTGAAAACTGTTCTATTTACACTGCCTGTTCTTTTCATTCTGCCCATGACCGAGAGTTTCTACCCAAAACCTGAATGTTTACAGTGAAACTGCATCTGCCTCAATGCTGGCCCTGAACAGAGTCACATCTCATTGAAATAGAGATTGTGACACTTGTTTGTTGAGAACATAATTAAAGCCATTTGTTGTGTGTGTATTTTTTTTAATAATGCAACAATGAGATTGAGTCAATAGGTCTTATTTTATGTACATATCACACTCTTTTTGCGTAAGTAAAAACACTTTAATAAAATGGTCACTTGGTGGAGACAGATGCTGTTTTGTCCTGAAGCTCTCTTCAGTAAAGAAAAGCTCTCTACTTCAGTTATTACGTTTTATTGTTGGGAGTTGCTTGTAGGTCTGAATTTTGATCATTAYAATAACATGTTAAAACACTTCCTTATACAGAAAGTATAGCCTGCCAAGCTAGTGCACTCGGATTCCATTTCTTAATATGACTATTTTGATGCACAAATATTGCTCAGTTATTTTTTCGTTAGGTCTAGCCTGAAATACTTCTATATGGTGGATGGGTTTGATGCTGTTTGCCAGCCAATATATGATGTGTGGTTGCTATGGTTACAGTTTTATCTAGAAACTATGGCAAGGTTGTGAACAGTTAAAATAAAACTGAATTAGGGAAGAATATTCGGTGGATGCAATGTTGATTCAAATAAATACGCTTGTTACTCTCCCCATGTTTGAGATGAGCTTATAAATCATGCTCATCTGAAAATGCAACAACACAGGGATCATTTTTGGGGTGAACAAAGCCATCATTAAAATACAGTTCTCTCAGTTGCAAAACATATCTAATGAACAAAAAAAACCTGAAATCCTGAAATACTTTTTTTTTTTTTCCCAATTTAGCTCTAACAGTACTTGACTCATCTGTATTACTCAGCTTTTGCACTACTTGGCTGACTTCTGGATTCTGTATATAATTATAGCATAAATATTTTTTTCTCTGTTAAGAAAATGTGTTCTGCAGGTAGGAAATGCAAACTCCTGAGCTCATTATCCTGAAATGGTGTATTTGTTATTTGTTGGCATAGCACCTCAGACACT